CTGACCTTGTTTTAGTGCTTAAATTCAATGAATATGATATTGGAAAATTGAAATTAACATGCAAATATCAGTATTTTAGTTATATAATGCTCAAACATTCTTCCTTTTTTAGTTGAACTTCACTGATTAGCAGTATGCCACTGACAATGAGTAATTAGTGACTATCCACTGATTCAGATTTAGAGAGAGTACATAATCAATTTTAAAAGATTAATAGTAAATATAGCGTGATATGTATCGTAAATTTGTAATACTTCTTTTGCGCACCGCAATACTACGTCATTACAAGAAATTCTTTATAAAAAACTTCGTTCCTCTGAACCGAAAGAGGAAAGGGGAACAGCAGTACATTCATCGTACGGCGGGCGAGAGCCCCTGCGCCGCGGTTGCCCCGCGAGCGTAATAACTTAATTACGCGATGCCGCGGCGGGATAACGTTCGGGTGTTAAGCGTGGGGGCCACAGAGGTTAAAGCGGGGCCCCCAAAGTTCCCGCTCGCGGGGCAAAGTGGAGGAGGTGGGTGGACGGGCCACTCCGGACTGTAGATACTACGAGAAACGTGGGCGTCTTGCTCTTTGGCCCGCGGGAAGTTTTTTGTGGGGCGGACAGAGCCGCATTCTCTTATTTATTACCCGGAATATTAAGTTACCCACGTTATACCACGGGGCACCGTAAGGCCCCCATGGATCCTCGTAACTATCACCACCACCACCAGCAGCAGCAGTAACAACAACAACACCGACATCGACTCTGCTTCTCCGCATCGTTCCATTCTTGTCGCTCCTCCCTGTCCGGAGATCGTGGATGCGAAGGGCACGATACCCTGTAGTGTGCTCTCCGGGTTCACCGAAGGGTACCGCGAAAAGTTTCGTGGGAGGGTAGGCACACGGAGAAGCTATCGCGGATCGAGGATCTAAATTGATTTTAGATCTCGGAACTCGATTGGTATCCGCTACGAGTAACGCGGCGTTAATTAAGAGAGACTGCACTGCCGTCTCAATACAGGTGGATCCTCGCATTATGAAATTACGACGTTATTCCTGCCACCGGTATTTCCATCGAGGCTTTCGTCGCGCGAAATCGGACGAGCGTATTTGTTTTACGTTAAAATCAGAATATCAGTTGTCAAACAGTAATAGAATTTTTTATAGAGATGTATATAGTTTCGCGTATATAAAGAAATCGATTTTTCCCTTCGAGAATGGCACGTGATCGCGGTTAACCGCAAGTTCTGTGGTGAAAACGGCAAGGCTATGGAGCGAGGTGCATAATCGAATCGACGACTTGTCACGACCACGATGGAGACAATGTAAAATTTAAAGAGAGACAGGCGGCGTAGGTAAGAGATGCAGGTGGAGGAAGAGGACGATGGTGAGCGCGAGGAGACGGGATGAAACTGTGCTTTTTGCGTGCACACGGCGCGGCGGCGGCAAGACAGGGCCAGGTATACTACTCGCGCTAAGGTCGGAATACGAAACAAAAAGAAAAAGGAAAAAAAAGAAAGGGAAAAAGAAAGCGGAGGAAGAGAAGCAGGCGAAGGGCCTAGGGTTCGCAGCCTGTTTCGGTCGTTCATAAATCCTCCACCTTAGCTTCGTTCCCCCACCCCCTCCCTCCGTCCTTCTTCCTTTCTTCCCTTTCGCGCTTTCGCACACGTTTGCACACACGCAAACGCAAATGCAGCTGAACACGCACCACCACAACCCACCTTACTTTCTTATCCAATTTCTTATCCCTCTTTCTTTTCCCCTCCCGTTGTCTGCGTCATTATAGTCCGCGGCCTCTCATTTGTTTCCCTGTCTAAGCTCCCATTCTGCAGCGAATAGCGAGGGAAGTCACCCGCACAAAGTCGGGTAGAAGCTGGAGAACGAAGTGAAATGCACACTCGGATCTCGGTATGGCGTGCACAAAAACGGGATACGTAACAATGACATAAAATTGGTGCAAAAATAGCGAAGAATGTATCAAAGTGCGAATAAGTTCGATGAATTCATCATTTTTGCTACCTTGTGACATTTTGAAATGATGCATAAAGCTATTTTACATGTATATAATGTTTATCGTAAGCTCCTTAAGCCTATTCTACAATTATGTAAATGTAATTGTAAGTGGTTGTAAGAGTTGACCAATCATAATCGAACTCGAGGAGATTATTCGATTGTGATTGATCAGTTCTTACAACTGCAACCACTTATAACTACGCTTACGCAATTGTAGAATAAGCTTTACGATTCTTGCCACAGCTAATCAGAAACGTCAATGGTACCACGATGCTTCCGATTGCAAGAATCATAAGGAGCTTATAATAAATAGAAGAGTCTTAAAACATTAACAATATAGGATCAACTTTACAAGATCAAGCACCCTTTAGTTCATTGATTGGCACTCTCCAAATCTGAATCAGTGAATAGTCACTAATTACCAGTGGCATACTTGGTACTGATAATCAGTAAAGTTCAACTAAAAAAGGAAGAAGAGAGTTTGAGCATTATATAACTAAAATATTGATATTTGCATGTTAATTTCAATCTGAATTTCAATCCAATATCATAAATTCATTGAATTTAAGCACAAAACAAGATTAGTTAGATCACATAATAAAGATTTGCTAGGTTAGGAATCTCACATTTAATTCACTGATTACCATTGGCATACTTGGCACTGATATCAGTGATTATCCACTGATTTAGATTTAGAGAACACGTGCACTATATGTTGTGCGTGTATTGTGCACGGCCTAGCTTCGTAAACAGTTCGTCACTGCGCAAATTATCTCAGTTGTTTAATACGAAGATGACTCTCCGACAGCGAGCTTCTCCGAACGGGCCGTGTGACGAGATAGCGAGCTAGCGAGTCTCACTTTCGCGGTTATACTATAAATATATGCTATTCTCCGTTTACCGAAGTCATATGCATCCCGCATGTTTATTCGTCGCCGTGCGATTGGATGGCATAATACTCGTATCAAGGAGACATGGTAGTGTCTTGCACTAAGAGCACCATATCTACCGTGGATCTTTAGGCGAGCCGTCGAGTTTTCCAGAATCAAAGCAATTATCGAATCTCAATATGGGCTGAACCGATCGAGTTCTAAGTAGAGTCAATCAATAGCTATTCAAAATATGTAATGATTATGGAGATTACATCCCAGCTAAGTAACGCAGGTTCGACGCACACGATCCACTTCGTACGCATCGGATTGTGTATCGATCTCGCGTGCATTTCCGGTGATCACAATTACATACATTTCGCTGATTCAATTATAGGAACGACTTTACGACGCAGTTTCCAGATCCCGATACGCCCCTGGTGCCTATTGCATCCGGGGCCCGTGCACAAGGTGCCCGGCGGGGCCCCTGGGCTCGCGTTCACGATACGTATCCGCGATACATCGAGAAGGTGATACGCGCTCGCGCTCGCACACGAGTTGGTATGTTGGTGCGTTTCGTGGTGGAGGGCAACGGAGGTGGAGGTGTGTCGACAATCAAGATTACGTGGGCGGATACACGCGCGGCCCAGCGCCGGCGGCCTGGCAGCCCTGTGCGCGTCCCGCTTCTTCTTATTCCACTTTACCTTCTCTCTTCTTCTTCCGTCCCATCTCGTCCCGTTCCTCCTCCAGCGCTCCCGGCCGGACCCGGGCCCTGGGACCCCCTCTGGGTCCACCTCGACTCGCTCTCGCCACCGACGCGTAGCTCGCGTACCAGTTCCCCATTCCCCCCCTATACATTGAATCGTAAACTGGCTGGTTAAGACAATTCAGAATTGAATCGCTTCGCCTTTCAAGGGATGCTCGCTAATAAAAAAGGAATGATTAGAATTTGGATAAAAAAATTATTTCAATAAGTAGATATTTTTCTAAAAACTAATTAAGATAAAATGAGAAAATATTTATCAAACTATAAAATTATATTGTTAAATATAAATACTGATCGTATATTAAACTGTTTCACATGTATGTAATATTTATTTTTGTACGGAAAGTATAAATTTCCAATTTCAATCATTTTTTACGGGAATTGTGTATATTAATGAATTTAACTAATTAACGAAAAAGAAATTGAGTTTCAATATTCAATCACAGTCAACGGTATAATATTGGAGTCGCACACGTACCATTGTAACGCAGTTAAATCATAAAAATGTAAACCCGTCGATTACTTTTGAAACTTCTGATTGGAATCTCTCTGTCTGTGAAACCATCGACAAGGTCCAGAGACACCAAGATCGTATTGTCCCTTTTTCTCCCTCATGCTGTCCTCCTTCACGCCCGAACACATCATGGTGTGTTAGTGGTGGAGAACGCGAGATAAATTCATGAGCGCGATGTCCTCACGACCACGTAGCCGCGCGCTTCGAGCGGCTTGGCCATGTAAATGTAAAGAGGGCTTTGCGAGAAGCGAACGAGTGGAGCGCATTTTATTAGCGCGCGAACGGGTAAGGTTCGAGAGATGGGAAGGTGGAAAAGAGGGAATCTTGTAGGTTCGCGCTTTTGGACCGATCTTGCCTCGCGCGAGCACACGCGTGCGATTACAGCGTTGTTTGTACAAGTTCTCTTACATACAAAATCGATGAGGTAAAAGAATTTAAGGGAGAGTCGAGACTGAGACAATTTGTATGCAAGATCAAACGTCTACATAAATTAAATGTCTACTTAAAGATTCGTACCGTCTAAAAAAGAATAAATATTTGCAGCGTCGGGCGAGATGCTTTCGTTGGAATATGTCTTTTACAATCTTCTTTATGCATTACGTTATTGTAATGTTTTTCAATCTTTTTCATAATACATTAAATAACTAACTAAATGTCTCGAAATGTGTCATTAAAACATGCATATTCTTCAGTATAAATTCTTTGTATCAAATATCGTTAACACATTCACAAATAATAAGTGAACTACCAAAATATTTATTTTTTATCATATTTTAAAAATAATTTATCGCAATGATGAGAGATGTTGCTTCAATTAAAATAAGAGGAAATATAATTTAGATAATTTTTATCATTTTTTTAAAGTCATTTTTTACTCGGAGACCTTTTGCGACACAGCGTCTGAGAAATCCTATTTCATTGCAACAGCACGCATACGAGAACCTATTTTTAATTAGCAGATAATTTTTTTTATCTCTTATATTAATCGTTAATTATTTCTTGAAATTCTTATATTATTTTATCTACCATGAAAGAAACGGTATTACGAATGCACGAATGACTTCACACATTCGAAAATAAGATGTCTCGCGTCACAAGTTCAATATTGTAATCAACATTGCCGGTGGCAAAGCATAGGCCTGTCATTTATCCCATATTGCGAGTGCAGATTGGAGAGCGAGCGTAATTTCAGATGAACGGAATGAAGCGTGGCGTCGCGATAAAAAAGGGATTCTCCGTAGTTTTGTGTCATGTTCGCGCCATGTTGTACATTAGGCGTGGGATATACATCTCGCGCCGAGCGGACAGCGAAGATGAAGAGAGAGACGGGCAGATTCGCCAGGTAATTGTACAAGGCAATCACGTGCGCGTTACGGCGTTCTACTTAAAAAGCGTGACAAAACGCAGTAGCTCTTCTAACTCCGTACACGGAAGGGAAAGAAAAGGAGATAGAAAGGAGGAACACAAGAGAGGCCAGAGCATAACTAAAATCTTCATCATTGGATAAAAAAAGTTTCTCTCGACGCATCCATGACACAGAGAAAATCGCGAAAGATATTTGAGAGCGATGTTTTCTCATCGTAATTTAAAAAGAGACAAATTTTTTTTAAGTAACGTTTGGAAACACGAATGTAAAACCACCTCGAGCTTCTTCGTGTCGATAAACGTCCTTCGATTCTTCAGTCAATAGAGTCATTAGTCACGGCTCTCGATGTACCCACCATATTCGTATACCTGCGATCCTCTACGGATGCCGATCTTTTCTGCCTGCACGATGAATGCATTCCGTATGGTATTTCATCTTAAAACCCTCGTTATGTTGCTTATGTTTCGTATCTTTTGGAAATATTGTTTCATATTTTCTGAAAATCACTGAACAAATATTGGATACATTCCAGCATTTTCCAGCAAGAGACACAGATGATACAGTGTAATACGTAAATTACTATTTCTTGTTTGCCAGTGTTAATCCTTAGTACACACGATAATTTTTTAGTTGTTTACTACACACAATAGATTATTCATGTCCTGAATTAATTTTCATTATTTCTGCAAATATACAAAAATTATTACGTGATTTTTACATATATTTTAACAGTTTTAGAAAATATTTGTATATTTAAAAAAGGAAAGAGTAGAGAGACTATTATTTAATCAGATGCTCCTAATATTTTAAAGAAGGAAATGTACAAGACATGAATGATCAAATTATATATACTAAGAGTTAAACAAATGATCCACTAAGGTCAAGTTCCACTACTGACGATTAACTCTTAATCAAGGTTCAACTTATTCATTGTCTCTTTCCAATTTTAGAATTGGACAAAAATGAGAAACAAGTTGAACCTCGGTTAAGAGTTAACCATGAGTTGTGGAACTGGATCTAAGGCCCGGTTGTATCAACGTTACTTTGACTTTAAGCAAAGCTTAAAACTCTCTCTCTGTCTCTATCTCTCTTTCGCTTTAAAACGAGACAGAGAGAGTTTTAAGCTTTGTTTAAAGTCAAAGTAACGTTGGTGTAACCGGGTCTTCGTATAATGCACTGTCATCTGTATCTCTTGTTCGAAAACCATCATGGCCAATATGTTTCAGGTAGAAATTTCGTTCATTTTTTCAGCACTTGTTAGACAGTAATAACTTTGTTTAGTAACTGAGAAGTAAAATTACTTAGGATCTCAATCAAGATCTAAACAATCAACGCTTTTAGAAAACTGTTCGACACGACAAGTAAAACGGTTTTCCAGCGTTAAAGAGTCAACAATGAATAATGCAAGTTGCAGCGCGTAACATTTTTGCGCACGAATTACTTTGTTAGTGGCGCCTGCTCGACGACGATGTTACCTGCCTGCTTCGCATGTCGATTTTACCGAAACCTGAAAAGGCAGAGACGACAAAGAGAAGCGGCGTAGTTTCTGTGTTACAACCGGAACTCGAAAGGCGAAGACTTGGTAAACGTCGCACGTACAAAACCTACGAAGGGACGTATCCTTGTATAATTGAATCCTACGGGTAAATCGCGTGTTTCAGCTGTATCGGAACGGTGAAGCAACAAACGCTCATCAGAGAGGTGTCAGCTACATCTTGTCATCGGATAAACTGTTTATGATAATAAGTCATTTTGTGGAGACACGGTAGAGCGAATATTTGACGAAATGTAATACTGACACGTTCATCTTCATATAAATGATGTGAATCCATTGGAAAAGTGGAAAAACATCTATTTAGTACTGCTCTACAATTTAGTGATAAAATGTTAGAAAATTATTTATCTAGACTAGAAAAATATTATAAATAGTAAGAATATTTCTCTTTTATTTTAGTTTTTCTTTTATTATTCATCACGCACTTAATCACGAAAATTATTTGTTAGGGCTAAAGATATTTTTATTTTGTTTTAATTTAATGTTTACTTGGTTTTTTCGTTATTTATCACGCACTTGTACTTTTTAATTCACATTAGTGTATAATTACGCTATCTACTGAGCAGATTTCACATCGCTTTTGGAATCTTCCTCACAATCGCGAAGGATACGTCGGGCAGAGGTGGAGATTGGTCTAGAGCCGCGATAAATCTAGCGGCTGGCGCGATAAATTTCTTTCGCAGAAACATAAAAAGCGCATTAACTTTATTCGATTATGTACCACGCGACAAAACTCCTAATCGCGTTACTTGTAGAGAGACTAAACGGAGTAAAAAGGAAATAATTGAAAATAATCATAACTGCACGAAAAGAATGATTTTTCTGAAAAATATTCACAATCTTATTGGATACAGATTTGAAAATAGTTTTGTTGGACCATCAACATAATTTTATTAGAAATTCAAACTGATTGCTAGAATATCAATTTTTTTGTAGCATTGCTCATCATTTTTGAATTTCCAATAAAATTATTTTAATGCTCCATCTTTATTTCCAGATCTGTATCCAGCAAAATTTTAAATTTTTCAACAAAACGGATTGATATCATTGATCTGCAGCTAAGAAATTTCGACATCGTATGATAATCAGTAAAGTCTCATGCAAATGTAATAATATAAACGTGAATATAATATATGAATGTCAAACACAGGTAGCGGCATACATTTGTAGTTTACAGTGTAGCAGCATAGATTTGTAGTTTAAGGTGATATCTAAATCTCAGAATCTCGGAGAAAAGTATCCCGACGTGTGTTAATAGCGTAGGCCGCTAATTCGCATATAACTTACGAGCGGCACGGTCTGTCTTCTACGAGGTATCCGAGGACGAATCTCTGACTCAAATGAATTAAATGCACGTATGCGAGACGCGCGCTACGCAGCGTTCGAATAGCCTATAAATAACACTACGAGCGAGCATATAGTGCGCCGTTAGGCCGGATTTGCAGCAAAGGCGCGGCTCCGATCGATCCGCGACGTTTCGCATATCGATAGACCGGCGACCGATCTCGCGTGTAAATACCTCGATTAACGAGGCTTTGACTGATCGTAATCGAGTTTTCCAAACTCGTCTTGAAAGCATCACACCGATTCTTGAGCGCATAGTCTTATTCCCGTAAGACACGTTTCCCAAGTCTCACTCGTCGTCTTATTGTTACTCCTCACTGTTATAACGCATGTTATTATTTTTCAGACCATATATAATCGATATAGGAGCTTGCTTGTCAAATAACTTGCTTATAAAATAGTTCATAAACAATGTGAGGAAAGTTTTTAGAATTCTGCATATGTTCATAACGATTTCTCGCTACGCGAAATTCACTTGACTCGTCGAAGTCGCAGAGGGGTGTAACTCGAAGGGCCCAAGGCGCGCTAAATATAAGACTATACGACTCAACCCCGCGATCCCGCGCATAAGCGCCAGTCGCGGAACTATATCTGCGAGTTCATCGAAAATAATTCCAGCCTTCAGGCCCGCGACGTTTCACGACTTTTCGTAGTAGGGGTTTAAGACATTCACTACGTTCACTATACTGTCTAAATTGCCGACACTTTCGAGTTGAGAAAATGCGATCCTGGCGTAGGGCCAGGATCGCGATCATAGATCACCTCGCGAAGAGTGTGCAGAGTTGCGAAAAATTACCTCAAGCTCGGCACAGAGTTCCACCGACAGCACCGACGTCAATGACTGGCTTATGGCGTAAGTCATCGTAGAAATCCGCGAGAGATATGGACGTGAATAGCATTGTTCATTTCCACTTTCGTCACCGACTCTAAACGTTTTCACAATAACTCGCCAAGAAGATAATCCAAATCGCGCAACAATGATAATATTAAAAAAAATGGTGATCCCTCAGTGTCACTTTCCTTGAGTCATTATCTCCATTTTTCTTCCTTCTCTTCTTTTTCGTGGTCGCATTTGAAGCGCGTGCCACTCACACTGCCGTGCACCATATGGTTTCCTTTCCCTTTTTACATGTTGTCCTCGCGACAACGCGTTCGGTAAACGACACAGCGATAAATATTATAACTTGAGATCTCGTGGATACACCGCACTTTCAACGTCTTCAAAGCTCGCCGTATATCCTTTGGATAACATAGAAAATAATTGCGCCACTTGATCCAGCCAATAATACGAGTATTAATGATGTAGGATTCCTTGGGATCATAAAAATTGATACAACTCTCATTATAAAGCGTCAATTTTTTGACGAGTCACAGGATTATCGTTTGGCAAATTATAAAGAGTCATCTTACACCGACTTGCGCATATCCGACGTAGAGAGGGATAAAGTTTGGCCAAAGGCCTAATCTCTCGCCTTTCCACATCGCGCTGATCGGCTTTCGGCTCGTGCTTAAGCCGCATCCTTTTACCCCGTTTCGGCTCGACCCTCGTACCCACACGAGCTTCTTTCCGTCGCGTCGTCGCGGTCTCTATATTTCTTTTTCAAGTTCCGAGGCAACAGGGAAACCGGGCAGATGTTCTCGGGCACCGCTTAGCTCGCCTCATTACCACGAGTCACGTTAATGAGCTTGCGAACCTTAATTCTTCACCCAGCTTCGCCGACCCTTCTCCTCCTCTTTCTGCCTCCCGAGATTAAACCAACCGAGACGTCGCGTGTCTGCTCGGCGATCACTGAATTATCACCGCCGAAATTTCAAGGAATTCTCATCTATTCAATAATTCTAATTATCGCAAGCTGCACTTCTGTTGCACAATGAAAAGTTTACTGCAAAATTAAACGAAATCACGCTAAGCTATGCTTTGTATTAATTCATGCGTATCGCATTGACTTTAGAAGCTATAAATGAAAAATATGAGATCGCAAGAGTTTAAACTTTCGAAAGAAATTATTAGAAATTAATGAGAATCAGCATTGTTAAGCGTCGCCAAGAAAGAACGAGCTGTGATCATAAGAATTTCAAGAAAATCTCTGGGTTCCTGAGACGGATGGGTCGTAGATAAAGATAGATGTGTCGGTTTCCGGTGTGTCGAGTTAACGACTCGAGTTTTATCTGTGGGGGCTGTTTCGGTAGGAAAAGTTGAGGCGTGGAAATGAGTGGAAGAAGAAAGTTACGGATGGATCGTGTGCGCGAGATGGAGAGACAGAATTTCGAGAGTACGGAAACAAAAAGTGTGAAAATAATAGGAACAGTAAATAAAAAAAGGAAGAAAGAAAAAGTAAAAGTTTTCCTAGATATATATATTTTCCATAGATAAGTGAAAGTTATCTTATGTCATATTATAAAATAAAATAATTGGCTTGAAGTAGATAACTTTTCGCGAGAAATATTTTAAAATATTTCACCAGAGAAAATAAATCAGGTACGTTGGGTGTATGTCTTTGGTTACATGGATATTTTAAAAACTCGCAGAGTGTGACAGACGCTTAAAGCAGTGGCTGCGAAGGGAAAAGAAAGAGAGTAATAGAAAAGGAAGGAAGAACAGCAGCCAGAGGCAGAACCATACCTCGAGTCATCTGGCAGTCAGCAGGATTGGAAATAGACACAGCTCGCTCTTTCCCTTTCTAGCTTTCATCCTTTCCTTCTCTCTTCCTAGTACAGGAACTCTCAATCTCCGTCTCTCTTTCGGCCATTTCTCTCTCGGTGCGAAAAGAAAAAACGGAGAACATGAGTATGCCAAACCCGGCGGAGTCGACGATGTTTTCATTGTAACGGTGTCCCTGGTCCCTCCTGATTCTTTCAGTCGACTTTTTTATGGGATCCGCTACTAAGCAGCCTGTCAAAGCGTTCTAATTTTTGTCCCGGCGTCGCCGCTTTATCAGGGGAAATAATTAAATCGTTAGAAAAAGTGCATGATGATTCGTCGCAATGAACTCCAAACGCTAACATTTTCATCGTTCTATGTAAATTAATTAATATTACTGTAACAAACGTATATAGTTATTTGATGATTTAAAATCTCTGATGTGTAATTTAAAAGCGCTAATACCGTGAGGTATTTTTGCATCTTCTTGTCCTATTAAGAGTCACGGGGCGCAATTGAGAGATCCCTCGACCTGTCAACGAGTATCGTGACAAACGTTTTAACACGTTCGACCACTGTAAGCAGGCAGCCAACAGGCAGTAATCAAAATCCGTGGACACTGAGCAAAGTCAAACAGCCGACCCGGTTGTCTTTACTCAGCAAACTCGTGGAAGCGCGGAGCCAATATTTAGACAGCGACCGACTCAAACATCGTAATCCGCCTTAAAACGTTGCGACACGCGCCAATCGTCTCTCCGTCCCTGTTCCGCAGGATGCTATTTACTTTATCATTCGCGATGCACCGTAATCACTGCCGGCTAATTAGATCTTTGTATTTGTCTCGTGATATTGGGACTTCTTTCCACACGTGGTACTCTCCTTTCCGTTTGGCTGCGAGATTCGATTAACTAAGAAAATCTCATTCTCTCGTGACCTCGAAGAGAAGTGTTCGACCTTCTTCATAAGTTAGCTACAAATCTGTTTCGATTATTAATGTACGAGATGTGACATTTTTGGGATTCAGTACAAACAGACCACCTGACGCTGATCGTGAAATGGCCGTGGCTCATTACGTCAGCGCGATGACATATTTATGAGAAACTTTTAAAAGAGAGTCCATAATGGTACTTAAAGGAAGAATACGAAAGAATAAAGAAAGAACACACAGAAAAACACTTTTGCTGAAGAATCTAAAAATTTAGATAAAGAAAAATTTGAAAATTATTTCGTGGGACTGTCAAAATAATTAGGTAGAACGCTTCAACATTGATGACAATGCTGCAACAAAATTTTCAATTAGTTTAAATGTCCTACATAATTATATTGATGATCCAAACAAAATCATCTTCAGATTTGAATCTAGCTAAATTTTTAGATACTTTAGCAAAATTGTTCTTTCCAGTTTCGAGATTATTTTTTGACGCTTTAAATTTTTTGGACGAAAAATGCAACGTGTCTTCTTTTAACTTGCATTTGTTTTAAAGCATTCAAAAACTATTATTTTCCTATTACTATACATAGGTTTGTGTACATTTATTTGAAATACATTGATACAGCATCATAATATTTGATATTGAAGACATAAGCGCACGTTTACTGTCTTGAAAGGCACAACTTTACTCGCACGAGACTGCTGTTAATGAAATCTGTGTGCGGAAGAACCCGGACGTCGAAGGAAGAGGATCTTTGAAGGCACTGGACACGCATCGTTTCTCGATGTTTCGAGCGTGGCGAATTGCCATCATTCAAAACGAGACGCTCTGCCTCTTTTGCGGCGGTTTGTCTCCTCTCTTCTGGACCGCGATCCTCCTTTCTTCGAAGTGAACGAGCGCGCACATTGTGACGTCAGTGAGAATGACAAACAAAAACGCATTATCTTATCCCGCGAACAAAGTTATACTTTGATCATATGACTGTGCCATTGATGGAAGACACCTGTCTGTGTCAAGAAGCGACACGAATAGAAGCTTTGACGAAGAGACACGCGCCATTTGTCGCGTTCACGAAGTGTGTCGTAATTTCATCCGTCAAACATGAATGCTTTTTTTCTCTCTCCCTTCGCTATAAATCACAAACGTCTCGGTAGAAATATGTTTCGTTAATGAGAATTATGCAGGGAAGAACAGTATTTATTGAGATCTATTAGCAATTTTTGCGAACGGCTTTCACCAGGGTTGCCACAAAACTGGACATCGGGAAAATCAGGGAAGAAAATTGAAAATGGCCAGAGAAATCAGGGAAAAGTCAGAAAATCTTCTGGAAAATTAAAATTTTTATTTTTTTAAAAAACTTTGATACTGTCAACTTAAAATTGAACAATTAAGTGCAAGTAGTGTTAGCAACAGTAACAATACATTGCTATGTTAAGTTGATCTTTCAACAAAATATTTAACAATTCCCAAATCAGAACAGATACAAAACATGTCAAAACATTATTTACTGAAAGTCAGGAAAAATCATATGAAATTTTGTCTGGAAAATCAGAGAAAAATTATGAAATTTTAGGACAAAGAATTTGTGGCAACTCTGTTCGCTCTTTTATAGATAATAGTCGCGAGTGAATTAAAGTTGCAATTAATTTTATGTCAACCAATTAATTTTATGTCAACTTTATGTCAACTTTATGTTTTTTAGATTATCCAGCAGCTCCACAGCGATTGGAACACCCGGTAACGGCAGCGGGGGTGGAGGCGGAGGTGGAAGCGGTAGTGGAGGTAGCGGAGGTGGTGGAGGTGGGACTACCGGCAACGGGACTTCCGGTAGTGATTTTCTACGTAGAAGTCATCCCCTCGCGGAACATACGGCCCTACATCCCGCTTACCGGATCAACTACATGGACCATCTCTACCATCAGCTCCAGGCCTCCACACACAGTCCCAACGCCTCACTACACGGTAATTATCCGACTATATACATATACAGATAGAAGTGTTAGCGAACAGAACAGGGCACAAAAAAACTATGCGCTATCCCTTCTACTATGAATTGGAAAGTTCCGTAAAGGAGACCCGCATTTCCGCCGGAAGTCTCTCCTCTAACGTACAAAAGCGCTTCTAACCCGATTCATCACGCATGATGTGTGTCGTGGTAATAAAGCGCTTTACATCCCTCTTCGAATGACAATTAAGACGGTGTCCATTTCGTTGACACAGCTAATCCGTCGCTGTATTTTACGCGAATATTATTTTCTTGTTTCTGTTTCCAGGACTGGGTGGTTTGGGGCCCGAATACCTCTTACACGCAGGTCCTGCCAGCACCCTCGCATCGTCCGAATTCCCGTTCTCCATTGATGGTAAGTCCAATAACTTGTATCCTCTCTTTAATGTCCATGCTGACGTGTGTACGTGTGACTGAGTTATGTGTGCCGTGCCTAGCTAACACACATAGGTATAGTGGCACTACTGGCAGGTAGGAGATCGACTGGTTAAGAGGCCGAGAGGCTAAAAGACGACCGAAAGGGTAAACGGGGCCTCGTTAGCCGCCACCGCCGCATAATTGAATCGACTCGGAGCGACACGACCTCATTAACACCTTAGCGCCTACCCTACAGGTTGTCTCACATTTCCTCTTTCCGCCCTCTTTATCTTCTCTTTCTAATTCTGACTCAATTTCTTCACTATGCGTAATTTTCATATATATATGTGTGCGTATGTGAACATACGTACTGTATGCATTTGTATGACTATAATATGTATATGCGTTTTCAATAATCATGATACTGTAATTGGAAACTTAAATATTTCCTATCTAGCTATCTTAACGTCAAAATATTGAAGCATTTAAAACGTTGAATCTAAGTCTTTTTTTGTAGTAACAGAAAACTATTTATAAGATATACGAAGTTAAGAGTTGAAATGATCGCGGTTTTCGATTTAGCACGCGGGCAGAACCTGTTTGAAAAGCGCTATAGTTGCCGTGGCATGTTTCGCGTAGTAGCATCGGAGGAGCCGCGCCGATCGGAATGGACGATTGCACCAATTTACATGTCTCAATCCCATGTTCGACCTGCATGCGCGAAGGAGCGAAGAGAAGAGCTGGAACATATCGAGCGTGTCGGGGTCCTGGAACTCGCGGAGAAAAGGGGTACTTTGGTAGATCGAGCGAGGGATGAACGGTAAGGAACGAAGGAGAGCCCACATTCGCATATTCATTAAAGTCTGCGAGAACTCTGCGACGCGATGCAAACCGGATATGGTGGAACCCACTCTTTGGTCTCTCACAGTAAAGACCTAAGATAACCGATTCCCATCACGAGTCTGAGTATTCGATCGACACGTAATAAATTACTTTATTTTAATCGTCATCGTCAATTCGATTTGCTGCCTTTCTGGAAAACAATCAAGAAGATTAATTTATAGAAGATATAATTTCTCTGACATCGCAAATGACAACCGGATCGAATATAACATCAGAAAACCGCGACAGTAAGTTTGCGAAAAAGCAAGTGTAGCAATGTGAGCCGATAAATCGCTCATTGAGCATGCATCCCATGTCATGCGGAAAAACCGCACAGCAGTTTAAGCCGTCGGTTTTCGTTCCGCTGCCGTCGTTGTTGACCACCGTAAATTTGATCATTGACCGAATTAATAACCGATGAAGGGGACAAAGCAGAGCCCTCCGTGCGGGCCGACGCGACGAGACAAGGAGGAGGAGAATGGGTTTCGCAAATAAAAAAAAGGAAGAAGGCGAGCAAGGGGATCTCCAACTGCGAGTAACTCTATACTCGTGCGCGAACGAGCGATCAACCGAGTGGAAATTGAGGAGAAGGGTAGGCTCGCTTCTCGTGCTCGTCTTCTGTGTGTATCGCGTTGCTCCTTACACAGAAGAAGAAGAAGGGTAAAGAGGGAGGAGAGGATGAGAAGGAATGATGGAAGAAAAAGGGGTACGAAAGCGAGGTAGAGAGCACTCGCGGCTTAATCCCGCGATGGCAGAGCAAGAAATCGTGCTGGGGGAGGGCAGGAGGAGAGAAAGAGAGAGAAAGAGTTGATAGTGCCAAGAGAAGGACAAGAGAGCGTAACCACCACCATGTAACCAACGATGGTAAGTACAAGCGAGCCGCCACCATGCTCTTAAGAAAGTGGTTTGTATATTACGTCGTTACGCTGCGGTCACAGGCAAATCGCCGCTAAAACGTTCAAGCCACAAGATCGGGCTCTCCTTTTAAGTCTTCTCGACTCTCCTCTCTCTCTCCTCTCTCTCTCTCTTTCTACACTCAATATTCTTGGTTCTTCTCAATCTTCCATCCGACTACCTATGTACCCGATTACCACCTCAGTGGTGAATGTTAAAATGCATGTTCCGAGGAAGATCATGTTAGTACATGACAGTGATAATTAAATTATAAATTCTGTCAGCTTTCTGTTTGACATAGAAATGGCGAGTGAATGAGATTGAAAAAGTAATTGGGAACTGAAAGTTGGAAGTTTCTATTTACATGAATATCAAGTTAAATTCGTCCTTTCCTTCAATTTCAGTTTCAGCATCGTCGCGATTAGGAAGTCCGCGAGCCTCAGCGATCAGAGCGAGTCGGAAAAGAGCACTCAGCAGTTCACCGTATTCGGATAGGTTCGACATCGACAGTATGATTCGATTTAGTCCTAACAGCTTGGCGTCAATCGTCAACGGTTCGCGAAGTAGTAGCGCGAGTGGAAGCTATGGACATCTTTCTGCTGGCAAGTATAAAATTTCTATTTATAATTTCAATTATACACTGAGAAAAAAATGCTGTTGATTCAATTAAAGTTTATATTACGGGCTGTTACTAACATAAGTAATTAATTCATGTATATTTTTATTGGCATAAAGGCCTTCATTATTGAAATAATAATTTATGCCTTTATGTCAATAAAAATATACATGAATTAATCACTTATGTTAGTGATTCTAATTCTTAGAACTAGGAAAGATACAGCATAAGTTAAACCAAGATTAAAGTCAATCTAAATTGGAAGAAAATGGATGTAAATCAGTTTAACCCCCACGCGAGTACTTATGGGTCAAGAGGCAAATATATACTGTCAGTGCCGCTCTAGCAAACAGATATGCTTTTAAAGAACGATCGAAGGCGATAGGCGGCGACGTATTACAGTACCAGAGCATAAAGCCATTATATAGGCGGTAACCTTCTTGCTCGCGAGTTACGAACGCCCGGTAATTTGCGATTAAATGAAGTAATTAATGAATTAAAATTCAGACGGCGTGGCATGCCGGTCGTTTGTCGGCGTTGCATCGTCGAATACCCGCAGGATGTTGCCGCTCGTTAAATTTGCCTTCGATGCATACGCCATTGTAAATACTCATCACCTGTATCGTTGTATCTCTTTTATTTATTTCGATTTTATTCTAAACAATTTTCAACATTCTTAATTTACATTTCTACAATTGTTAACGGAAATTAAATTCACCGGAATTCTTTAATGATATTTCAATCGTTTATAATATTTATTCTGAATTTAAGCGAAGCTATGTCGATAGCAGCGATAAAAGCACAATCATAAATACTCGTATAATTAATGTATAAATATGTAAGATTACATTCGGATGAATGCAAGCTTCTTCGAGTTACCATGTATGCATAGTATAATAGTACAGTTCTATCTACGCACGGTTACTTTATGGTTTCGTAACAGAGGCTCACGATTGAAATGCAAGCTTAGCCTACGTGCCGGAAGTTCGACGTGTCGTGCTCGGACTGTCAAAGGAACGGACATACGGTCCGATTTCGTTGTTATTCTTATATCGCAACCATATTTGAGCGATTCGATGTAAAGCATTAAACATCCGATACTCGTAAATTGCTAAATATTCGTAAACACCTAAACATCCTTCATAATTTCATCATAATATCTTGAATAATAATATCTGAAGATCTTTTATTTTGAATATTACTGCTGCAAAATTAACGTATTCTTGGCATTATGACAGCGAAACAAACTCCACATCACCAAATAACCATATAAGATATAGATAAGAAAACTATATAGATAGTGCTTTATAAAACAAATCGTGTCATGTATATGGTACATGTATCAGTAATTAATCAATCTACATTGTGTTGCAGCAATGAGTCCAGCATTAGGCATGCATCCCGCCAGCATGACGCCACACCTGCAGCAGTTACAAGCTCACCTTTTGAGTCGCGCGGCCGCGGTGGCGCTTTTACCACACACGCATCCCCTTCAGCCACCCGCACCACCGCCGCCACCGCCGCATCCTCATTCTCACCCTCATGCTCACGGACTGTCCCCTCATTCGCAATTGTACCCCGGTGTGCCACCTCATTCCACGTCGTCGGCGACGCTCAGTCCGCACGGAGCCGGATTGCCCCCGAAAAGTGAGGTAAGCGAAAAAAAAATTGATAAGACTAACAGGGTTGGCAAAAGTCCACATTTTTTGGATAAAGTCCATGCCAGTGATAAAAACCGATATTTTCCGGAAAAAACCGGCAA